TGTCTCGGTCCGCAGCCTCAGCACCGCCAGCAGGGAATGACAGAAACAGGCACACCGCCTTCACCGTTCCCTGGTGCAATCTTACATTTTTTCTGAAGGGAATAAAATAGAAACCGTAAAAGGTCAGAGATTAATATTTACTCTAGGCTGAAGTTAATGCAGCTCTTTTTAAAAGTCTTAAGTCAAAATCATAAAAGAGAAATATGGCCAGACCTGGTATCTGATAGCCTGGTAGTCCCACTGTGATTAGCTGTGTCCACTCCCAGAATGGCATGAAATTGTCATCACGGCAGGATAATCAGCCTGTTTATTGATTCCCCGCTTCAACATGCTAGTGGAAACTGGTTCCACTTGCATGGCATTTGTGAATTGTGCTCCCCTAATTCCTCTCTTGAGGACATCTTTAACTTCATGGTGCATAGGTGTCACGGAAAGTTCCCTTTCAACTTACGCTGTTACAAAGTGACAGTGTTATAAACTAGCGCTGGTCCGATAATTTGCTATCGAAACGGCATAATTTTAAAATAAATGAAAAAAAATTTAAAAAAAAGAAAAAAGATCATAATTTTCAGCTGTGTTATACTCTTTAAAACTAGAAGACACTATCCTTTCAGCTAGGAAGTGTTCGGGTCACAGTCTCACGTTGCGTAGCTTAGTCCACAAAATGGCCCCTCCAGACAGGACTCCGTAGAACTGATGTCCCCCCTCTGGAGTTTAGCTCTCATTTTCCCCTTATCGTTCATGTCCCACTGTGGCTCCTTCAGTGCTGTTCCAGGCCCCATCACTACCTGCAGCACAGAAGGAGCACGCTCGCAGCTCGGCTGGACTGTTGTTAGCTTGATTCTAATTGGTAACTTCAGCCCAGCGTCTACTGAATCCAGCAAGCAAAACATTTTATGTCAACTGAGAAAGGATAGTGGAGAACAAGTCTGAGGAATGGGCGCTCTATGTGGAACATGTATCTCCCCAAAGCTCTCTTCACTTAGCCATGGGTAGCCCTTTGGAGCGTGGGCCTGCAAGCACACTCTCGACGGCCTCTACAAGAGACTTTGTCAGAACCAGTTACCACTCAGTCACAGCAGCCTCAGCCGTGCGGTTAGCTGCTGCCCTCTCTCTTATATTTCAAGCTGCTGGGTTTTGCTTCTTGAACAACTTCATGCGTCCTTTCTGAACTTATTCAGGAGCTAGCTGATGAATCTCTTCAGTAGCTCCATCGCTAGGTGAGGAGTCAAAAGCAGCTTAATGTAGTTAATTCTTTCTTAAAATTACATTTTATTCATTTTTTGAAAATTTCAGACGATGTATGAAATGTTTGTATTTTGATCATATATACCCCTTCCCCCCAACTCCTCTCAGATCCACCCTCATTTTCCTACCCAGCCAGTTTGTACTGCCCAAATCATCATAGGTGTGAGGATCGCCCTGGAGCTTGGTTGACCTGTTAGATTTGGGTTAAATCCTTAAAGAAAACTGACCCTTCCTCTCCCAGAAACCATCTATTACCAGTATTTCTTCAGTTGGGGGTGGGATTATGTCTGGCTTAGAGCTCTGCGGGTCTGTGGATGCTGTCACAACTGCTGTGAGTTCATATGTGCCACTGCCCTGCCATGTAGTCAGCCGTTCACTGCCTCTGGCAGTCTCTCTTCCACAATGATCCCCGAGCCTGGGGAGGGAGCTTCTGATATGAATGTCCCATTGCTGAGCACTCTGCAACCTTCTGCTCTCTGTAGGTCGACCAGTTGTCAATCTCTATGTCACCCGCTACCTACTGCAAGATGAAGCTTTCTTGAGAACTGAGAGAGCACTCATCTATGGGCATAGTCATACATCAGTCGGCGTCATTTTAGTAGCAGAGTCGATTCTTAATGCTCTATCGTGACTTGTGTCGATTTCACACAACTGCAGGCTAATTGTCTCTGTTCAGCTTATCTGCCTTCACATACTTCCCTGAGGGAAGCTAAATCAGTCTCCAAATGGTTTGTAATATGCAAGTCAAATGCTGAAGGCTTCTGATGCTTGTTGTGGGGAAGTGGGTGGTAATGGGGATTGAGCAGAGTCTTAACATGCTGGGCAAGTGCTGTACCACTGAGCCGCATCCCCACCTATCCTTGAGCTTGGTAGTCCTTTGGCCTCGTCTCCTGGATGGCTCTGATTGCAGACTTGTGATACCAGGCTCAGTGGTGTGGTGTGTGTGTGTGTGTGTGTGTGTGTGTGTGTGTGTGTAATAAAAGCTTACACTGAGGATGTGCAAGAGAGCTTGCCTAGCGTGTACAGGCTCAGGATTTCATTCTCAATACTTTAGGGTTGGAGTGCTAAACTAGCACAAGACACAAGGGTTAAAGTTCCTAGTCTGAACACTCATGCAGTTTAGAAGCCAGTGGGGAAGATAGTTCTGGGTACTCTGGGCAGCCAGGTCTGTTGGCACCAGTCCGTGAGCAAGGGCTCCTCCAGCTTCCTTCCTGATGTCTGCTTCAGGCTTGTCAATTAGACTGAAGTTTCTCGTGTGCTTTAACCAAAACTCCTACCTTTTCAGCGAATTGTAGCTTCACACTTTTTACCTTCTCTGTTTACCTGCCCTGTTTCTGATTTCTGATGACTTTTTTCTTCAAGTTGTTGTTCTTTTCTTCAAGTTGAACCTTGATTCCAAAATGACTCTGATGAACCCAACAGTACTGATTCTCACAACGCAGAAAAAAAAAAAAAAAAAAAAACCAGCACCACCCAATTCTCTGAAGAACTGATCCTGTAAAATCTTCTGGAAATGCTTTCTTCTGTATTTCTATTCATTGCCATAAAAACAGCCATTATGCATACTTTGCTAACTTACTGTGGTTGGATTTTTGATTATGTGGATCTGTAGATATAGCTTCATTAAACTTATAAGAAAACAGCAGCTGTGTGGAGGCTAGTGTGAGAAATCCTGACCAGAGAGCCCCTAACACTCAGGAAGTGTGCAGGAGAAAGAGATCCTGAAGAGAGAACCCCTAACACTTAGGAAGTGTGCAGGAGAACAGCCCCCAAAGAAGTTAGAAACCCAAAGGCCAGAAACCTGCAACTATCTGGCATCCCATGAGATCAGGGGACTGGAGGAGGTGATAACTTAAGAATCCTGAGAATAAGAAATTTTCGTCACCATTTAAATGGACCCAGTGCAATTCCTGGGCTCTTTATAAGAAAGAAGCAGGGAGTCCTGAGTAAGAGAAAGAGAAAGAGAAAGACCTTGGGAAAGAGGTAGGGAGGTGACGGAGAGGGAAGTGGGGAGAAGCGGGGCAGGAGTACAGGTGACTTCTGGAGTGAGAAGAGACAAGGCAAAGATTCTCTCCTGGAAGCACACAAGCCTTCTAACCCAGAGAGGCATGGAATAATGTTGCGCTAAGCCATCAGCTTTGGGCTCATTTGTGACAGCAGCAACTGGGGCTGTGGGGATCTCATAATCCAGAAAGACAGGGGACACAGGCCACTCTGCTGATGTCATTCAGAGTGAGGAGCCGCTGCTGAGCAGCAGTTATTTAGGCAGTGAGTCCTTCCTGCTGGGGGGATTAGAGAGGCTGGGGGAAGGGGGCAGGGAGATGAGGGTTGGGGGACACGGGGAGGGGGCAAGGGGAGGTAGAGGGGGGGCTGCTTTGTAGAGCCCACACTTGAGCCTGGTAATCCAAAGGGGCTTCTGGAAACAACAGGGAGAAAGGTTACCCTGGAAGGCACAGAACAGGAAGAAACCTTCCCTGGAAGACACAGAGCAGGGCCAAAGGATTGGTGGTCCAGACCCTTGTTATCGGTTCTTTTCCCAGGACTCAAAATGACTGATTAAAATTTCCCACATCCTATTAAGGATGTGGTAGTAGGTCTCGGAGTTAGTGAAACAACAACAAAATACTGTAATTTTTTGATGTCATTTTTATAACAATTGAATTAACATGAGAAAGTCTTCTAAGAGTTTAAATACAGAGATGTAGACTTGATCAGAATTTGCTATCTACACAGAACATGGCCCAGCCAGAGTAAATGTGACTCCCTTCCAGACAGACAGGTTAACCAGCCATGAACAAAAGAGCAGTAAATGTCAACCACAGTGAAAAGACATTCATTAATATTTGCAAATTAGACATTTACTACAATGTTTCCAGAATTTTCTATGACCAGGGGAAGCTGGTGGAATCCAATAGACTAACTCTAGTAGAAACAGTGGCACTACATTGTAAGTTTATTTTGTGAGCTTTTTGCTTGTTTGTTTTTTGTTTTGTTTTGTTTTTGCAGTGATTGGAGGACCAATGAATGCCACAAGGACACATCATGAGACAGACCTCATGTAAGAGATTTATGGGGTGTGGGGGGAGTAACACAAAAGGCTGCCTCTGAGTGAGGATGGAAAGTAAAGGGGAGGCCACCAAGCCTAGCGCTTTATAAAGAGTATGGTGTCTGTGCATAGGGAGAACATACTATTCCAGGTGACTGTGGAAACGTGTCCACTGTCTGGTTATGACATGGCCACTGTCATTGAGTCACTGAAGGCAGGTTGCGGGGGGCACACACCTGATTCTGGAATGTGGCTGGTTCTCAGTTGACCAACACCAAGGGCTCAATGGGATGATGACAGAGAGACTTCAGGATTCTGCCACTCTTTGCTTGAATCTGATTGTCAGTACCCAGGATCTTGAATAACTCTGAATGGCCCTAATTTAGCTTGGAGTTGACTGAGAGGCGGTCACCCTGTTGTGGAAGAATCATTTTGGGCACTGTGAAGATGTGTCTTTGCCAAGGCGACTTCTGATTGGTTTAATGAAAGAGCTAACTGACTGGTAGCTAGGTAGGTGGTATAGGTGGGACAGCCAGACACAGAGGATGCTGGGAAGGAGAAGGGTGGAGTCTCCAGAGTTCCAAACAGACAGAGAGAAGCAAGATGAACATGCCATGTTGAAAGAAGTTACCCCCACATGGCAGAGGGTAGATAAAAATTGTGAGTTAATTTAAAATGTGAGAGTTAGCTAGTAACAAGCCTGAGCTATTGGCCAAGCATTTATAATTAATATTAAGTCTCTGTGTGGTTATTTAGGAATGACTGGTAGGATGGAAAAGTCCACCTATATCATCCTGATAACACATTTCTTTAAGTCTTCTGTTTGGGGAAATGGAAGGGAACAGAATGGCCTGTCTGTTTATTCTCACTACTAAAATCCACCGCCAGTAGTTCCCTGGGCCTCATTCATGGAGTTCGTATCTTTTCATGGTGACATTCTTCATTCAGGTGCCTTGGGTGACATTTGTTTTTCTTTTATCTTCCAGTGAATTCACTGCTTTTCGGACTGTTCATACTCACTGCAGAAGAGTCCAGAGGAGGACCTCTTCTCCATTGGCTTGCTCCCAAAAGAATGCCCTGGCACTTCCCAAGAGGAACTCAACGTGATCTCAGTAGGCCTTAAGTCCTGAGATGCTGCTGCAAGCTCTGGGGTCCAACATCCCTCACAAGAAGAGCTGGGCATATCGCAAGCCGCTTCGCTTCTCTTGTTCCTCGCGTTTCTGTCTAAGTCCAGAAAGGTCACCTCAGACTGACTGCACTCAAAAGGGGTTTTCTGAGTCACTTTATCTGTCCTCAGAGCTCTCTCATGAGGCCCTGGGTGAATATTCTGGTTTTCATCATCTTCTACTGGAATGCTTGGGACGTTGTCCAGGAACAAAGGAGAGGGACAGCGGAAGGACTTCAGAGATGTGGGAGGGTCTTCCGCGAAATACAAGCTGGGCTCTGCACTCTCCAGAGAGTTCAGGACCTGATTATCAAGGAAGCAAACATGGAGGGAAGCTTGAGCAACACTCCCTTTGACATTTTCCTCTCTACCTAGTGAAGAGTATTCTCTAATTTTCATTTAGGAAACTAAATAAGTAAAATAAAAACTAAAACTAAGCTAAGTGTATACACAAAATTTTGAATTAGAAAGGACATTAGATATTGGAGAAACCCCTTTATTTCAAAGGCCACATCAAGGGACTTGAAGGACAATGTAAAAGAAACTATAGTCTATTAAGACAGCTGTCCCAGGCATGAACTGGCCACCCCCTCCTTCTGTGCTGCAGACGAGTCTTTGTGCATTTTCAACCACAGAAAGTGGACGATTCTCATGGAGTCCATCAAGTTCTCAAATGCCAGGATCAAAAGGAGGAGCTTTCTAAAACTACAGATCTCTTGTCTGTAACCAAGAGACAGTCATAAAAATAATAAAGTATCGGGGACCCCAGGTATTTTAGCAGCTTCACACAGGATTTGGACATGCAGTCAGATTTGAGCTGATGACCTAATAACCTGAGCATTTGCGAAGTGGTTTGTTTATATGTATTTCATCTCCGCAAACGGCATCCCTCTGATTTTATAGGTAAAGCTGAGGATCAAGAGAAAACCCAAACAACTATCCAGACAGGTGAAGCTTTGCTGCTGTGCCCTCAGCCTCCTGGATCTCAACTTGGTCCTACAACGCCACTGATGGATCCTCGCTCAGACAGGATTCTATGCTGAGAGTCATGTCAGGCCACATCTATGTCTCCCTGAATCCCAGGCCAGTGTGATTAGACTGTGATTAGAACAACTCCTTGTTCAGATCTCCCCCAGCTCTACAGTAGACTAAAGCCAACTCCCAGAATAGAGTGAGTGCCCCTCCATCTCCTGGAAGTGTCTATAGTTTTAACCACACCAGCTCTCTTTTCCTCGGCTCACTCCGTGATGCTGGACTGCCTGAAGTCCTACGGCTAAGGATGACAGCGACTTTCAAAAATGTCTTCACATCCACACTACTGCCTACACCTAATCTACAGCTTAGCTGTCCCCTTCAGCAAGGACCTCCTGGTTGCTGCAGACTGGCGACCTCACTCTGTTCTGACTCCACCCTTGCCTGTCATCCTAGGACTGTGACTGTCATCATGCCTGTCTATAGGGTCAAAGAATCATATCTATTGATCTGACGTCTTTGCTTGGCAAGTTTGGAACAGGAACCATGTCCTGATCACTATGTATCCCCCAAATACACATCCAATATGGGCACTGAATTAGCATTGACTTATAAATGAATGGATTATATCTATGACAAAAGAATACATTTTTAAAACAATAAAAACAAATGTGTGTTTTCTAATGGATCAGATAGCTTAATAGGTGTTGAATAAAATATCCCCTTCAAACTACTTTCCATTAGATATAATTTTTTTGATTTATTGTTAGGGACAGTGGTTGGAAGGTGCTGACCAGAGCATATGAAGGTCAGGGGACAATGTTTTCTGTCCATTTGTTCCAGGAATCAAACTCAGGGCACCAGGCTTGCATGGCAAGCATGTTTTTGCCTACTAAGCTACTTTGCTGTCCCCATATTTAATATTTGTATAATAATCTGGATCTACCTAGCAATGACCTCTACATGGGTAGCAATAGTGTGCGGTGTTCATTTTAAGCTAGAAAGTTTATCAATTAGGCTAGCATTCTGTGTGTATGTGGGGGGGGGGCTGAATTTGTCTCACTAATTAATAATTCACTTAGATATACAATTTACCTAACTTAGATTTTCTATATCTTACCTCATCCATTGTAGGTCTTAACTTGGCCCGAGTTGCTGCACACTGGCCTGCCAGAGAGAAGAGCTTGGCTGAGAAGTTCCGAGGACAGGGCTGTATTTTCCTGTCTAGAAAGGAGAGGCACGAATCGAGGCCCCTCTTCTCCATCAGCTCCACGAGGAGATCCCGCTAGGAAGAGGAAAAGATAAACTTACTTCTTGGAATACCATCAGACAGCTCATTGGCAAGCGGGTGCTGGCGGGAGAGTGGTTCTTACCAGCTGGACATGTTTGGGGTCGTCCAGTACCACTTTACAGCCTGTCAAAACTTCCATGATCACCTTGGAGGAGCACACATAGTCAGCCACGGAGGTGAGAACAGATACAACATGAGTTTAAACTGTTTGACATGGCAATGGATTTCACTCGACTTAATGCTTTTGTATCTTATTGCTTTATAGATTATGGAAAGTTAACGCATCGATAATGAGTAACAGAAAACTCAATAGGTATAAAAGTTAAAACTCTTAAAATGTTTGCTCTAAGCCAGAGATTCTCAACCTTCCTAAGGTTGCGACCCTTTAATACAGTTCCTCATGTTGTGTTGACTTCCCCAACTATAAAATTAATTTTTTGCTACTTCATAACTGTAATTTTGCTACTGTTGTGAATCATAATGTAAATATCTGATATGCAGGATGTTTGATATGAAATGCCTGTAAAAGGGTCGTTCGTTTCCAGGGTGTTGCAGGGAGCAGGGCCCCTTGTTCCGGCTGCCCGGCTAGCTTACACCCAAAATAAACACACAGAAACTGTATTAATTAAAACACTGGTTGGGCATTAGCTCTAGCCTCCTATTGGCTAACTCTCACATCTTGATTAACCCATTTCTATTATTTTGTGTTCACCACGAGGTTGAGGTCGTGGCTTACCGGGAAAGAGTTAGCCTGTCTGACCTGGCGTCTCCAAGGTGGCTCTCTGACTCTGCTTTCTTCCTCCCAGAATTCAGTTCTGTCTTCTCTGCCTACTTAAGTTCTGCCCTATCAGGCCAAGCAGTTTATTGATTAACTAATGAAAGCAACACATAAACAGAAGGATCTCCTACACCAGGGGTGTTGCAACCCACAGGTTGAGAACCACTCTCTAGGGGATTTAGTATTACCTTGGCAGTGAATTCTTTTCCATAGCAAACCAGTAGGTGACACTCACAATTCCAAAGCTGTAGACGTCGGTTTTCACGGAAAGTCTTCCCTGCCTGATGTATTCTTCTGGCATGTACCACAGATGTTTCCTGCCGCTGCCGGTCGTATTTATGGTAGAACTGTGATGCTCAAGGTGGGGTCGGAAGTGTGCCATGGCAAAATCTGTTAGTTTGGGTTGGAACTGATCATCCAAAAGTATGTTTGTACTAAAAGTGTGATCAAAGACAACAGGACAAGATGTCACAGAGGCATTTAATGAAATACAATGTGGCTGATTAATTCAGAACACTGATAACATGAAGCCAAGCATAAATATTCATGAGTGAGTGGGCATTCTAAAGTTTTTTTTTTTAAACAAGTGTAAACATGGGCTGGAGACATGGCTCAGCAGTTAGGAGCCCTGATTGCTTTTCCAGAAGACCTGGGTTCAATTCCCAGCACCCACATGGTGCCTCACAATTGTCTACTGTCTATAACTCCAGTTCTAGGGGACCCAACACCTTCACACTGACATATATGCAGGCAAAACACCAATGAACATAAAATAAAAAAATTAAAGTATAAACAAAAATTTATATGAAGCCTAAAATAAAAGCCTGACCCATAAACAGTGGCTATTTCGGATTTTGAAACTTGCATGGATGCTATATCAACAGGACAAACCAACGTCAAACACGGCAGCTCGCTTGTGCTCTTCTCCATGAGACCATGAGTGTGGCTTTCAGTAGGTAGTAATGGAATTGTTATGTGCGGGGGGATGTGTTGTGGAGTGCTGGATTTACTAGAGACCCTACTCTAGAACGTCTTGGGGCGTCTTTGGTAGCCCCTACTTTAATGGTAGTCCCACCTCACAGTTCCATCTCTTCGGGTCTCCTTCTGGTTTGGGAACTCATTTGGGACGTGACCAATTGTAGGAGCAAAGACAGCATGCATAGAGTCAGCTCAGGGAGCCATCACATGAAAAACAATCATGTCAATCTTGCATGGGAGTAAGTGTTGGTGCGTTTTATGCTTCAAAACCCTGCCATAGGAACAACAGGAAAAGAGAAGCCCAAAGGGACGAGCATTTCACACAGCAGGGTCCCTTTCCCTGATTCTGACACCTTCAGTTCTGTGTTCTTGCATTTGAGGCAAGGAGAACTGGTAACACTGTAACTCTGCTCCGGGAAGATGGACTCCATTGGCTGCCTGGAGTGGCCAGATACAGAGTAGCAAGGATGGGGATTGGTGATCGGTTCTCTGAGAGCCGGACCATGAGCAAGTGACCTTTTGCTTCAGTTTTGCTTAGTCCTGAAGCTGCAACATTTTCTACTTAGCTTACTCATCCAAATGTCAAGAGATAGAGATTGTGGTACTGTGCACTGTTATTAGATGTGGTGGCAGTCACTGGGTGAGAAGCTCTTAAGCCTGTACAAACACCAACTCTAACAAATGTCCCAAAGGTCTCTGCTGCCCCAGAACGAGTACACCAACAGGTGGGGCTAGTTCTGAATGGAGAGCCTCTAGAGAAAGAGACAAGGCCATGTTGGGATTCATTCCTATGTCAAGTATTTGAGCACATTAGTTCATCATAACTGAGGTCTGAATCCAGATAAAATAAAGGGCCATCCAAGGTTCCTTTAATCTAACAGCACATAGGAACCCAGGTTCCTTTAAGGATAAAAACAGTCTTAAACTTTGACTTTTACTGCCACAGAGTGGAAAACAAACTGTAAAGTACAAATAGCCAACCTTAGGCCATCTCTATTTGGTGTGATCTTTTCATCTATGAAGGAATAGGCCAAGGTCTGTGTCCCTAAGACGTCAATGAGGATAGTCCTTTCTTCACGCTTGTCTTGTCTCAAGTATCCAGCAGCTGCCAGAGCCAGCCTATGTGTCATATGACCCAACCCTGTGCCATCCCTTACCCATTCTTTCATTTTCTCACTCAGAGGACAGCGTTGAGCATCCTGCCATTTCTCTGAAACTGCATAGCAGACAAGCGTCAGGTCCTACCTTCTCTTCAGCACTACATAGGAAAACACAATTAAATCCCCTGTAGGTGCACACTTCACTTGCTCAAATCTGAGGTTCCTGGACCAGCCCTGATGCTTTTAGAATTTGGGGGATATGAAAGTAGAAGTTTCCCAGCTGGGCAGGAAATGAAGGGGGCAAAAACAGCCTCCGTCTCTCACAGCAGGGCTCATGTGAAGCAGGGGAGGGCAGAGAGTGAAGTGTGGTACCCCTTAGGCAAAAACTGCCAAATTTGAATATGATAGAAACCAACCAGGAAGAGGGAAGGGTAGAAATCCCCTGCCCTATGCCAAGTAAATCCCTGGCACAGGCCCTCATACAGGGACCCTCTGGTGTGTCTGAAGGTGACCTGTAGCTTATTGTAATACTAAAATGCACACTCCTAGATAGAGATTTAAGATGCCGAAGCAACATGTGATGCATGAATCTATATTACATGTAGCATACCATGCCCATGAAAGCTCACTGTATGCAAATAAGGTAACTAGCCCATTCCACATGACATAAAAGCCCCTAATCTGCATGGCAGTCATTGAGCTACTGACCTTTCCCTGCCCCAGCCTGCTTCCTCTCTTGGAAATAGGTCTTTTTCTCATACACTGTCTTTACTGTTATCCACGTGTCTCAGTCCGGTTCCTTGTTCCCAGACATAAGGCAGTGGAACCCCTCCAGAAAAGCCCAGCAAACCCTAATATCCATGGTCCTCAAGAGTTACTGCCCTTCCAGTTTCTTCTACTCTGGGAGCCCCTTCTGCATGCCCTCGTACAGAGGAAGTCCGAGAAACTCTGAGTGCCACATTTCCAATGTCTTCCTCCACCCCAGTTCTCAAGAAGGCATCATATCCTGATTAATATGTTAGGGCCTTGAGAATGCTGAAACTTAATCTAAACAGCACATAGGAACTCCTACGTATAAACGCACATGTGTGTGTGTGTGTGTGTGTGAGTGTGTGTGTGTGTGTGTGTGTGTGTGTGTGTGTGGTGGTAGGGGACTTGTGGGTACAGCAAGAACAATAAAGAAACCCATAATCTAAGCCATTTACTTGCCTTGCTGCAAAGCAAGTAGACGCTGACAGCAACTGGTGAGTCACAAGACTGCCAGAGGTAGGCAGAGGTGAGCTGGGCAGCCGCAAACCCTGTGACCCAATAAAGCCCTTGAGGACACGGGGTCAGCGGGAGGCCACCAGGCAGGCGGGCAGGATTATTGGAGGACACTGCACTTACATATTGAATAATGACATCTGGTGGAAAGGCACGTTCTTACCGGCAGACCTTAGCGTAGCGCATAAATTTTGAACAGAGTGATTTATTTGGTTCTAAATAAAGGTTAACGTGAGCTGAGAGAGAGAAATGTTCGGTTTTAGCAAAGCAGGGATTGCAAGAAGCCCTTCGACAATCAATTTCTCCCCTGATTCTTTCCCCTGCTTCAGCTTTCAATGGAATCTTCAAACATAAAATGCCTTCAGCCGTCACGCAGGTCAACAGAGGAAGTTTATTCTGCAGGGTGAGAATCCATGAGAGAGTTGAAATCACAGCAGCACAATGCGAAAGGGCAGCGTGCAGGTAACATGGCCACTAAAGAGGCAGACAGTGGAGCAGGTGTGGCCCACACGCCCTGTCTCATGTCTACGCCACCTTTTCCTACTCTTCTCCGGTGTTTGCAATAGCAGAGAGGCCACGGTGACTTCAGAGAATTCTAATAGAAGGATCCCTGACTGAGGACATGGGACAATTCTTTACAGGGGGTGAATTTGTACCAATTAGAGGTAACGACTTAATATCTGTACTAAGAAAAGTTTCCATGATGCTTTTTTTTTTGAGGGACTGGCTCCCCCAAATAGTACTACTTTAGAGCGAGAACCAGCTTTCTCGGTTCATCAGAGAGTATCCTCATTTAGTTGAAACCGTTAGGCCTTAAAAACAAAGATGATATATAGATTAAAATGCAGTATTTGAATTTTCTTTAAAGACATTACATATATTTAAAGGGGCTGACTTTAGCCCCAGTCAAGTGCCTGGCCACCCTCAGGAAAGGCAGGGATTCTACCCATTTGACCCAAAAGACCATCAGACCCAAAAGCTTCTCGAAGCATTCAACCAAGAACTGCCCACATTCCGGAAATAGGCTTTCCCTGCATCCACAGCCAATGACTCGGTGCCCACAGCCCCACAATGCCGTCACCATTTTCCTTATGTGCATGCTCCATATTCTTTACAAAGCTCTCCGCCATGATCTAGTCTCTCTTTTGTCCATGCCCACTCAAAGGCAGCCATTTTGCGCCCCCCCCCCATCTCTCCAATAAATCTCTTGTGTGAGGTCTGTGGCGTGGTGTGATTCTTGTGGGATTCCTTGGCCTTTGTGTAGAGACTCTTTCACCACACAACCTTTCACAAAAGATGTGTCCTGCCCATGTCGTGGCAGTTACAACTTCTCAGATGTGACAAAACCCGTTTCCCAGACTCACTGTTCTCTGGGAGAGCTGTGGGCGCTCACAAGACTTTGCACACAAGAGCAAGTATGGCTTCCGACTTAAGAATGGTACAAGGCCAAGCTGTGTTTCCCTACCAGAGGCACCCATTAGTCAGCAGGTTTCAGAACAGAGTCAAGGGGAAGATAGGAGTGAGCCTGGCCGTAGTGGTAGCTCAGTCTCATAACCTAACTGACTAGCAGCCGGAATGCTTCTTCATTTACGCAGAATTCAGTAAGCATGTTGTTCCAAAATACACATCGCATCATCTTTGTTTCTGGATGTGTGTTTAACTTTTTCTCTTGCACATCTGGGGTCTTAAGTTTAATCCTCACTGATAAACTGTGTTAAAGAGTTATCTTTTACAATCATTTTCCTTCAAGTTTAGTCTTCATTAATAAACAGTTATCTTTTATAGCCATTTTGACTCCTCAACCCCCATAACCCAATTTTTAAGATCCTAGAAGCAGACGATAGCTGGTTCTCAGACTGCCAACTTTTGTGGCTTCGAGGGCGCTAGACAGAAGGAAAATCTCTGAGCCAGCCTGGGCAGACTGCCATGTCCCGAGAAGTGTATTAGTAACTCTTAGAGCTCAGAGTGCCCGCTGCCAAATAGGCCCGAGAAAATCTTTAGGCCAAAGTTGCTGCAATTATCATTCTATTTCTGGCATAATTGAATGTTTATATTTTATCTTTATAGAATTTGTTTATATGTCTATTTCTGGC